GGAGAAATAAAAAAAAAAAAAAAAAGGAGATAAATATGCAGCAGCAATACACTTCTTATTTACTTTTCTTACCTGGCAAGCAATAAGATTGTTCTTCCACGGTTTGTTCTACAATTTCCACAATAGCCCCACAAGCTTTCTAAAAAAGCAGGTTATGGAACAAGGAGCTTTATTAAACCCACCCTTACCAAAGCCATCTGAAAAAGAACCACTGAAGGAAACACAAAGCAGGCATGTTCACATTTTCCTAAACTGAATGGTTCACTCAGAATGCTGGGAGCCTAAGAGCTATGCTTGATTTACCTACAAAAGATACAAACTTGTAGTTCATGAAGAGTACAGGCCGTGACATGCAGAACTTGGCCTTCAGCTTGGATCATGGTGGATCATCACACGCTGAGACACGTAGCGCTCTGGGCAGCCCATCCATGTTAAAGATTAAAAAAAGGGACAATGGGCCTCGCTGTCAAGTGCTGTAGGCTGCCTTTAGCCAACTACATCCCCCTCTCTACCAGAGGTGCATGGAGAGGAGTCAGTAGCTGTTTTATTGTTAAAAGTTGGACTGCAAAAATGTCAGTGCTGAAACCATGATGAGAGTTAGAAGGCATTATAATAATTTTGTTTGGCGTGTGATTTCAGTACAAGGCAGAAAGACCTACACAAGACAGAGACCATAGCTATACTTTTTCACAAGGAGCTGCAATTCAAAATGGCTTAAAACAAGCTTTACTATCAAAACATTGTGAGTGGGATCTTCAGAATAGCTCAATAGACCCACTTAAGTAGATACAGAAGGCTGAGCCCCTTTAGGAGATCCTACCGACACTTTCTGATGGATAATTCTGTATAGTGAAATATAGCACCTTCTGGCTGGTTGGACCTCTTCAACTCCTCACACACTGCATCTGAATACGTGGTCCCTGGAACTTGGACTGCAATGCCCAGAGCCGTGCAGCTACAAAAATAAAGACAAAGATGATGGATCATCACACATTGCAAGCCCCATACATCTAAGGGTACAGACAGATGTAAAGTTTAACATGCATCAAAGTGTAACAGGGTTCAAAGACTGTCAAAAAGAAATGGAGCGTTTCAGTCACAGACAGACATATAACCCCCTGGTGCACCCTTCCCCCAGTGTGCTTTAGAATTGCCATAGAATTGCCATAGAGGTAAGCAGCAGCCATACTCTCCACTGTCCCAGGAACCTCTTGGGGTTTCTGGGTCCTGCGGCTCTACTCCTCACCTGCCTAATGGGCAAACATGCCGGAGAGGATGGAGTAGACTTTCTATGAACACTCCCCTTACCCTGCCTACTGCAGGCAGCTCCTGCTGCACTGGCACTGGGAACCAAAGATACAGGGAGATCACAGGGTGCCAAAATGTGGGAAGCCATGGGGGAAGAGGGAAGGGGGAAAGAGCGCTGTATTGCGAGATGCCTGACGAACCAACCCGCTTAATACACATAACCTTGAACAAACCAGTGTAACATAGTACCTGTTCCCTCCAGGTTCATTTTTATTATGCTTCAGCTACTTTTGGAGCATTTAATCAGGTATCTCTGCCTGTATGCTCACCTTCTGAAGTGTTTCAAAGGTGCTTCAAAGCTATATGAAACATTTCAAATGTTATATCTGTCCACAGTCCAACACTTCCCATTATAAAAAGATGCTTGGCAACCTTTAAATTCAGAAAGCGTGTGAACACCTCTCATTTTCAATATGTCTTTTGGGTGCCTATAGACATGCCCATTCACATACTAATTAGAATGCTAGTCTTTAATTAATTGAGTCCACTCCACATTCGAATTTGAATGCTCCAGCATTGCTTCACTGTTACGTGTTTCAAGCCCCTGTGCATTTCAAAATGGCTGCAGGGGTGCTTTATCTAAACCTTGTTCAATGAGCTTTAGTTAAAGCATGCCATGGCCATTTTGAAATGCACAGGGGCTTAATACATGTGACTGTGAGCCATTTTAATTAGAGCGGCTGTCTGGAAACTGCTCCAATTAACAACCCCCTCCCCCAAGCATGTGTATAGGCAACTTTTAAGTTTAGCATGGAGAAAGCCCTTGAGCTAGAGGTGCCTTTTCTTCATCTCATCAAGTTCCACTCAAGTTCGTTGAAGTGTTAAATATGTTGCTTCTTTTTTCTTATTTGTGTACCTCAAGGTGGTCCTGTCAGCCTGCCCAGAACACGACCCTTCTAAAGACCCAGGGCCTTTCTCCCAACAATGGATGACTGCACTGGGAAGTGTAGGGGCAGCTTGAGTGGTTGGGAATGAGGGAAAGCCCTGCTGGACTTCCCACTTTCGACTCCTTCACCTCCCCACCCCCTCACTCCCCAGACTTAGCACAGCGCTCCAGTATCCAGACTCAAGGCCCTGCTCCAAAGTTAACTGCAATCAATGGGAACTTTTCCATTGATTCCAATGGGCTTGTTACACTGCAGATAAATGGCCCATGAGCCATAGAATAAGGTTTAACTCAACAGTTCTTTACTACAATTCCTTCCACTTGTTTTTCTCTAGCAAAGCTCATTCCCACACTTTAGAATCTCTGGCATAAAAAATATGGCTACTGATCGTAGGGACACCAGCTAAGTAGCTCACTGAATATGCCACAATCGCCCTGATGTTCTTCAGCCGAAAATCTATTATTGCTCAAGTGTCTTGAAGCCTTGCAACTCCCATGATTATACTGTAAGGAGAATGTGCTTACTTGGTCCAGGACTTACACCCCTCGGTGGGTGAAGAGACAGCTGAGTAGTACCCTGGGAGGCATGGCTTACATACGGTATCCTTGTCTTGCTGGACTGTGGTAAAGGAAACAAAAAGATTGTAGCCTCTGAAATTTCACCTCAGATTTGGAAAAGATAAATTTGCTGAGGAGAGCGACTGGAGGGGGTGGGGGGGTTCTCTCTTTCTTTCCTTAAAAAAACAAAACAAAACAAAAAAAACTTCCCTAGAACTGAGGAAATTGCACTGGAGGAAGTAACAAGAAGTAAAATCTGGGCAAAGAGTTGTGCCAGATGAAGTGCCTCTTTATATGAGGAAAATGAAAAACTTTCAGAACTTGGAAAAACAACTCTGGAATTGATGGTGAAACAATGCACTGCTGAGAATGCCACTCTAATTACCATCCATGTACTACTGCAGCTACCTTAACTATGCCATTAACTTGTATGACTACTGTGATCTATCAGCACCTGATGAAGTGAACTCTGGCTCACAAAAGCTTATGGAGCTCTGATTTAGTTAGTGTATAAGGTGCATCTCTACTCTGCCTGACTTTAGATGAACAGTTACAAAAATGCAGCCATTACAGTAATGAACATAGTACCAGCTAGACCAGAGGAGAATTTCCTTAGTTGATGGCACTGAATTCTGTGCAGTTTCTGTGTTATGCCCTGTATTCCTCTTCTGCCAGCATTTATTATTAGCTCAAGGTTATTCCCCTTCTAATTTCCCTGTGCAAAGTTCTTTCTTTAGCCTTAAATTCACTCTCACTTATTGTAAAGACAGAGGTGAATTATCTGTAACATTTGTAGCAAAACCCTGGAGCTGCTTGAGTTGTAAGACACACCACATAAGCATACTGAAACTTTTCAAAAGGTGTACATCACTTTTTAACCACCTGTACAAGAAAAGGCTGAGGGGGGACCTGGT